CTTTTCTCACTCTCAATCAGTTCTCGTGAAATAATCACGCCCCGCCCTAAATATTCTAATTTCCAACCCCCCATCCCCACCCGCCAATCTTTATAAGGCAGTAGTGTGAGCATGCATGCACACTGACACGCACACAGTTATCGACTTACTTACTTATATGTGCAGACTGACAAAGACAAACATACATTTTATGTGATAAGGAGAAGAATGTTGAGCTATGGAAAGAACAAGGGAGAAGAGATACAATGTAATCAGACAGTTGAAATCTTTAACCTCATTAACTACTACTACTACTACTATTACTCCTCACTTTTTCCCTTAAATTTTTATTGGTTTCCAAGGTATTTATCTGTTCAGGTGATTAAATTATCTTGGATATGTATGGACTAATTAATTCATAGAAGTGGTATATATAAATCATAAATTTCCCTTCTAATTATTTTAATGATTTATACTATGCTACTTATAAAAGTAATTTAGTGACAATGGAATCCAGGATGCTCATTTCTATCATATCTAGGACTTATGATCTGAATGTAGCTGTGATCTCCAGTTAAGTAAGTGATGGTGTCCTCATTAAGGCTTGAACTCGGTATCCATTCATCGTTTCACCACCACACCAAAGTCGTAATCTATTATAAACCCCACGGAACCATGATAGTCACCAACGCTTTTGTGCAACAAGTGTTAGTTAAAATATCGGTTTTTAAACCGATTTTGATTTTTTTTTTCATTGGTTGATTCGAATGAGGTGTTCGGTCTTTGTTTGAAACATCCAGACAAGCAGCCGATTTGACAATAGAGGCCGAATATATTTCACTCCTATTAACCAACGGAAAAGTCAAATAAGAAGACAGTTGCAGCGAAGAAAATTTTCTTTTCGACGAAGTCATCATCTAGGCTGTACATTCGTGTATTTATATCAAATGGATGGGAAAGTTCCAGAATAATATCCGGTCAAGGGTCAAATTAATAAAAATCAAAATTGGGAATTAGAATGCCATAATAAACAGGGGATGGATAAAACAAACAAAATAGCATTAAAATAACTAAGAAGACTGACATTGTGCAATTAGGGGTTAGAAATGTAGAAATAACAACAATAGACAGGATGTTTGGATAAAAACTAATGTGATGAATAATTGTTTATGCAATCAGGGATTAAATATGTAGAAATAGTAAAATGACAAAATAAACACTAAGTTCGGGTAAGAAAATATGGTAGTGTAAACAGGGATTAAGAAAAACTTGAAATAACATGAATAAACAGGAAGTTTAGATAAGAAAGGCGATGGGATGGTGGTTACTAAAAATTACTTGTTTATGATGGCCATGGCAAGGACAGGGTTGGACGTATTTCTTTTGTATACAAAGCGTGGGTTTGAGCTTTTGTATAGCTAGCACCTCGGCTATGCCCAGATGTCTTGATTTTACTCCCTTTGATGGGTTTGATCGAATCTTGTAAATGATTTTGAAGGATTTTTCGAGCGGCGCTGAATGTCCTGAATTCACCAGGTGTTCTGTCACCGAACAAAATTGAAATAAAACTAAATCAACTACTTAAAAGTAGTTAAAATGTATTCATCGAAAAAAATCCTTAAAATTTGATTGATAGCAGTTATTGGTATGGACAGAAGAAGCACCTGCGTAGTTGTCTATCTCATTCCAGTGAACCTTTCAAATATAATGAAAACTCTCCTTCTAAATATAGGCAGTTCTACGGGAATCTGAGGGAACGATCCTGATTTTTGTATACAAAAGAAATTTAGCTGGAAGATTTCATCATGAGCTGAAATCAGTTAGAGAACAATTGTAAAACCAGCTGGAAGTACTAGACAGCTTTTTCGTCAGCCTACTCTGAAACTCTCCAGCATTAAATACAAACCACCAGGGTTTGAACCCAGGACCTTCCGGTTAAAAGGCGAGCTCGCAGACCATTCATTAAGATACTGGGACCCGATCCAATGGCTAACCCATAAATTCTAACATCTGCCGATTCATGACATAGCGCGACCACTTCGCAATGTCTTCTTCGATGAGGTCGCGCTATGTCATGAATCGGCAGAAGTTAGAATTCATGGGCCATTAGGTTGGGTCCCAGTGGCTTAATGGTCTACGAGCTCACTAGTCTTGTAACCAGAGTATCCTGGGTTCGAGCCATGGTGGTGGGTGCGCACTGATGAAGAGTCCCAAACTAGGCTGACGAAACAGTTGTACAATACTGCCTGGTGGTTTTCCAATGGTTCTCTAACCAATGGCAGCTCATGATGAAATCCTCCATCCAATCAAACTAAATCCCTACAAAAACCGATAATTGTAAAAGGAAGTTTATTCCAATGTTATCTCTCCATTGCTCTGAACTTCATTCACAAATTCTCCTTTATAAATTTGAACTCTGGCTACCTATCCACTGCATCTTTAGTATTACATAACTTACAATTTTATAAGATTTTGATCTAGTTTGCATTATCACAGTATCTTTTATTTGTTATTAAGTCAATTTTGACTTCCTATATGTTGATTAGACTTAAGTGTTCAGTCTATGTTGCATCAGAGGTAGATCTCATGATCTAATCAATGATAAAAGTTCAGCATTTGAAAGAATGGGTGGGTACGGAGTCCGAGTCTCCGGGGGGAACATCATCGCTCACTGGGAAATAAAGTTGTATCCGGTTGACGAGTCTCATATAGGACGAAATATACATCCTAGATTTCTCTATGCCAGTCACCGTTCATCAAGTGATAGCATATTATCTTTATTATTCTTATTACAACTGCGTCATCTGAGTGTGCTTGTGTTATCACTGACAGTATGACCATCATTATTGCTGCTGATATTATTATAGACATCGTACAACATTTAACACTTATTATTTCTGGTACGCAATGTTCTTTTTCATTGGGTTGTATATAAAGCTATGTGCATTAGAGTAAAGCTTGAAAAAGACCTAATTGAAGACAATATTGTTCGTTTGTATATCATACTTTAAATATATTATTTAATTTGGGAACAATACGTTTATAATGAAGACAATAATGTGAAATTACGGAGGTTTTAGCTTGATTTTTAAATTCTCCATATACACAATCTTCAAGTGAATATTTTTTTAATCTGAAACATACTCCAACGTCCTTCATCAATAGCTGTCTTCGCTCAGTACTCAAGATCAGCAACACAGATCTCTGGAAACGAACCAACCATGAACCGACTGTGCAACAAATAAGCAGGAAGAAACAACAGGTGGAATAGCCATACTATGAGAAGTCCATCAAGTGACATTACAAGACAGGCCCTTGAGTAAAACGTGAACGGGAAGTGGCGAGATGGTCGTCAGTGCTAGGGTGACATGGAGGAGATCATGTGTAGAGGAGATGAAAGCATGTGGACAGAAATGGAGTCAGGTGGAAACGTTGGCAAAGAACCAAACGCAATGCAGACGTGTGGTTGGAGCAGTATGTTCCTCTAGGAATTAAAGAAAACAACATAATATACTCCAACGTTAGACGGTTTTGTCTATTCAAAAGAATAGATATTCTAATGGTGTATGATGGAGGCGATTTTTGTAGTTCAGATGGATAACATTGGTGTAGTTGTATTCTCTGAACTGGATGGCTTAGTTCGCTTTCTAGAGAACATCTTTATCGGTTGAATCTAGTTCAGTGAACACAACTACATCAATACACCTAATGGTTCACTGAATACCTCCTAAGTAGAGACTATTCGTCAAAGATACAAATACACTTTTGTTCTATGTCAATTATTATTATTATTTCCTTTAATTCCTAGAAGAACATAGGGCTTCAGCCGCGCGTCTCCATTACCTTCGGTTCTCTGCTAGAGTTTTCACCTGGCTCCAAGTCTGCCCACATGCTTTCATCTCCTCTTCACATGACCTCCGCCAAGTCACCCTTTCGCTGACGACCAACTCGCCGCTTCCCTTTCGGTCGGGTTCCACTCGAGCAATGGCTTGTCTAGTGATGTCACTTGATGGTTTGTTTCCTCAGAGTATGGCCAATCCACCTCCATTTCTTCCTGCCTATTTGTTTCACAGTCGGTTCCTGCTGTGTTGGTTCGCTCATTGCCAGAGATCCCTGTTGCTGATGTTTTCTGGCCGGCCATCTGTTCTTGAGTATTGAGCGAAGACAACTGTTAATGAAAGTCTGTAGTTTGTTGGAGATGCTCTTTATGATGCGCTGGCCAAGTCTCTGATCCGTATGGTAAATGGCACTGACTTCGCATTGGAGTTGAAAATCCGGATCTTATTTTTGATGCTGAGTGCTGCTGACCTCCGCACAGACTTGAGAGTAATGAAAGTTTGCCTTGCTTTCCCGATCCTTGCTTTGATATCCTCTTCAGTTCCTCCTTTAGTTGAAACAGTGCTTCCCAGGTAGGTGAAGGAGGTTGTTTCCTTCAAGTTCCTCCCATTTATGCTGGCTGACTGTCGTCCGTTGTTGTTGTTGCTGTTGGTGTTGGCCAAGAATCTTCATCACCTCCTCTTTATCTATATTCACTTGAAGTTCTATCTTCGATGCTCCTCCGGCAGCTTGTTGCTTTTCACTTGCATATCTTCCAGTGTTTGTGGGAAATCAGACATATATCATCGGCGAAGTCCAGATCCTCCAAGTTCTATTTTTGTGTGGGTCCATTTTATGCCTGTTTCCTCGCTGCCTGGCCCGTTGTCTGTCGCATTATCCAATCTACTGCAATCAGGAAAACCGTTGGAGATAGTAGACAGCCTTGCCTCACTCCCATCCTCACTTCAGAGGCTTCCATAAGTTTCCCATTGTGGATTACTTGGCATGCAGCATTGTTGTATAACTGTTGGATGAGGTGTATACTTGTCGTTGGCGCCCCGTGGTAGCGAAGTAGTTGCCAAATCACCTCTCGACCGACGCTGTCTCCTGAAGGCCTTTTCAAAGTTTTATGTAAAATTAGTTGATAATTCATTAATTTCTAAAACACACATTCCTCTTTTTATTTTTAATTATTTAAAATTCAGCTTGGTGTAAAATTACCATTCTCTGTATTGGATTCACAAATTCGCGCCAAACCACCTCCATCTGTACGAATTCCTCCTCCGCCTCCTTCTGCTCCTCCATCACAGCCAATACCACCTTCATCTTTATACCAACATCAGTCATATCAGCATCATGATAAACACCGACATCTACAACACCAACCTCATTTATCCTCTTTATCATCGATATCAGCGTCATCCCCATCACCTCAGTCACCACCGCCTCCTCCACAGAGACAACAGCAACAAAACTCCCAATTGAAATCAACTAAGCAAGAGAGGAGTAGTTATTCCTCCGCGTCTTTGTTATCAATTCACGAAGTAGAAATTGTAGCAAACAAGTACACTGACTTGAAATATACGAATCATTCCAGCTGTACATCACCTATAAATAGTCAACACTATGTTGTACAAAATCTCTGTGAAAGCTTTGATCAGAATACATCTAACCATTTAGTTATTAACAATCCATCTGTGCCTATCATATCTAACAACCCTACAACAACAACAACAACAACTACTACTACTATAATGACTACGAGTAATACTCCTTTAACAGAATTAATTATAGTCAATGAAGTGTCTAGTAGAAATTTAAAGCCAAGGGTTGCATTTATTGAGCCAGTCGATGAAGCTTCAATACATGATAGTAATCCTACGAATAATGCTACTAACAACAGCAACAACAATCAGTCAGACAGTGAATCAACTGTTAGAATAAACAAAGAAAGTCATCATCCTACTACTAACAAACTTAAATTAAGTCTATCTGCAAGATTTCCTGGTTGGGGAGTGATTACAGATGATGATGATGATGATGACGACGATGATGTTGGCCGAGGAGGAGGTGGAGACTGTCAACAGAATGTGAAAACTGCTCAAAATGATAATGTGTCTGTCAGCGTTGAGACACTGATATGCTCAACAGCGCAACAAGTAAGTATTTACCCACATTTATGTATGTATACATAATAATAATAACCTACTTTATTTCAAAAACAGTACTTATAATACGGGATGGAATTCTCAGCATTTTTCACAATACCTTGCATCTGATTTACTTAAAATATAAATAAACATAAAATTTAAAACAAAATTAACCTAAGGAATTTGTCCACATTTAAGATATAAAGTCAAAAATATTCTAAGCACGAAGTGAGATCATTAAGTATTAATAATAATAATAATAATAACAGTGAGTTTGTTTCAAACAGTATTGGCGATTCAGATTGAAAACTTTACCATGTTATAGATTATTGAACCTAATGTTTCGTTGATATAGTATAGTGAGGGGAAATACAAAATTAACAGTTATTAACACAGGTTAAATTATGTTCACACTTATGAAAAATAAATAAATAAAAACAAAAAATTGAGAGGATTATAAATAAAAGAAATACAATAACAATAAAGTTTGATGTTGTAAGGGTGGAAGAAATGGTTTATTTAGTATTGGAAAGAAGGTTAGTTAGTCAGTTAGTTAGTTCATGCCTAACACTATTTTCATCACATAAAGTACGTGTCGTCAAATATGGTATAGTGGAGTTTTTATACTTAGACAGGCATGCATAAAGTCTTCTGAAAAGACTTCTTGTTTTCCCTGAGGAGACAGAAGGTTGGAGCTGCGCGTAAAGTGGGTGATCAGAGTCTCACAAAATTGCTTTAGCAAATTTGTTGCATAACATCAAGTGCCTATCAGTGACAATGTCAATGATATGGCCCAATGGGATACCACTCGTTCTACTGACAGTCTTCAGAGTTCTACGAAGTATGACAAAGTCTTTTCTAAGCAATCCAGGAAAGGATAAGGGTGAACAGTAAAGAAGAATAGGTAAGATACACGAGTTGACAAACTGTAAGAGGAGGAAATGTTGGGTTATGCCTGATCGCCTTAGCTTCTTAATGTTAAAAGTCAGATGAAATATTCTTTTAGAAATCGCTAAGACATGGGAAGACCAAGATAGGTCAGAAGAGAGAATTAATCCAAGATACTTAACTTCAAACTTGGTTTCTATGTCAGTATCATCAATTTCGCAAGGGTCATAATTATCATCATATATTATCATTATTATTCCCATTCCCAGCTAAGGGATTCAACACCACCACATCTCTATTTCAGTGCCCAACACGTCATTCTCCATTCACTTTCTACTCGACGACCCAAGGCGCGATGTCATTCAACAGTATGCACAAAGTGCATTCAATCTATCTTGATTTCTCTCGGTATATTTGATGGGTGATAGGTTGTTTATTTGTTCGTTACCAGTTTAACAACAGAAGACAAGGGCCAGGCAATAAATCGTTTATTGAGGAAACCAACAGATATTTATAGATTTTTATGTACATTATTATTAGCGTTATTGTTAGCACAGAAGCAACGTCTTCTGATTGGTTGTTTTCTTGCTCAAAGTTATTCTGTCATCTCTTTGTAACCGTTTCTTAGAAAGTTAAGCCAAATATCTGCAAATCGTATTCGCACACATTAAGTCTCCTGTGACTGGTTGGTGATTTCCTGATGGTTAAGCCTTGTTATTGTTTTCTCTCATGACCCCGCTTTGGGACGCGAACACTGACGTAAATTGTTGTTGACAATTTTGGCTTGCTGATAGCTCTCACCATACCAGGATTCCTTTTTTACTTATAATTTCTGGTAGGCCATCTGATCTTCAGCATGGAACCAGAGAAGACAGCTGTTGGTGAAATTCTTCAGTAAGGCGGTGGAAATGCTTCTGCTGACGCATCAGGTGTATGTATACATATATATGCAGTCGCGAGCCCGAATAGCTCAGTGGTAACGTCTCTGACTGCAGACAGCACTGGGTAACGCGAGTTCTATTCTTAAAAGGGACATGAGTTCCTTCAAGGTGACTGCAAACACGCCTTGCTGACTGGTGAGTTCCAACTAGCACAAAACGTAGGTCAGGCAAGGCTTCCTGTGGCCGATTGCCCCCAACCATCTAATATCATCAGAAGAATACTAGTCTATAAAAAATGTTTTGAAACTAGATTAGAAACTTCTCCGAATGTTTTTCCTAACTGTAATTAAATTTCACATAATTCTTTATTTTTCAATATTTCAGCTTACTTCCAGTAATCCTAATCGCAGTAGTGAAAATCGAAATCGACATATCATCAATAAAAAAGTGAGCAATAATGATTTTAATGTAAATAGTGCTCATACCCCTCCTCCTCCTCCTCCTACCACTACTTCTACTACTACTACAACTAATAACGGTATGTATAGTAATACTATCAACAACAACGACGAAAACAACATTATTGAAGAGAGAGGACAACAAGAAGTCGTGAATTCTGAACAAGAAGAAGATGATGATGATGATGGAGACGATGACGATGAAGCGATGAAATCTAAAGCAACAACATCTAGCCTATATGCTAATCCTGAAATCTCATTATCTCAGTTAATGAATATGAATGATGAAGAATTGTATTATGAATTACACGAAAAATATCAAAATAAGCGCCAACAACAACCATCATCATCATCATCACAGAAATTGAATGAACAAAAACAACAACAACAACAACCACAACGTACTTCATCGATATTAAGTCAACCAAGAAAATCCCTGGCAATGATATTTTCACAAATTAGTAATAATTTAGGATTTACACAAGAATCATCTACAACAGGTGGAATTGGAGGCGGGACAGGAGTAATTGATCACTATCCTATGAATTCAATAAAAAGGAATCGTAACAATGATAATACTGTTCAAAATAATAATGAATTTACTTCAGACCGACGTAAAAGTGTCATTTACACTGATTCTAATGAAATGTCAATAAGAAATAGTGATTCAGGTCAAAGATTAATAGAACGTAATATATTGAATACATTTATGAGTAATCAAGGTCAAGGTCATGGCAGACATAGCGGATCAATCAGTTCAAATGTACACATGAATAAATTAAATAATAGTAATAATAATGCAAATACATTATTAACAAATCATCCTGGAATATCGAATACACCAGTAAATCCTGTCGATCGATCAATACTTGTTGATTTACTGTGTTGTACATGTTGTACAAATTCTGATGATGAAGATGAAGCCTATTCAAATTTAATTGAAAATCATCGATTAGCACGTATTGTTACAATGGGTGCTATATTAACTATCCTAGGTTTAATATTTGCGTATATTATACGTTCAGCGACAGAAACTCAAACACCGTTGACTAATTCTCAGACGATAACTTCGCCTACTAGTGCTGTGACCACAGCATCAGCAGCAACAGGAAGTTCGAGTCATTTGAATAATTCTATGTCAAAACAGACAACAGATTTAACAGTTAACCGAAATTTGTTAAAGTTATCAGAGAACTTTTCTAATCTAATTGATTTAGGTGATGAGATTGGATTGGATCAGATTTTTGAGAGGTCCAGCTCATCAGCACATGTAAATAATAGTGTTAGTAGTATTAATAACAATAATAATAGTAATAATGCCGTAGAATATTCTTCGCACTATGCTCCCTCTTACTCCTCTCTGTCCAACAATTCTTCGACTCCTTCATCATCATCCTCCGTCTCTAACTTTACTCCGCCTTCATATTCTAGTCAAATTAGGCACAGTGTGAATGACATGTACAGTCATCATCGTCCACCATAAATTATTAATATTGTTAATTTTTCAGTTTGTTTGAATTTCCCTCTCTGTTTATTTTTAGTATTTTTGTAATCATACTACTGATAAACAGCTTTATTAGTAATACAAATTGAAATATTTAAATTTTCATGTACTTATTGATATCGATTATTATTATGATTATTCTTATGTTTCTGATTTCAAATAAATCAGATATATATATTTTACATTTCTGTTCTGTTGATATTTTGGTACTATACAACTTTTATTGATATAAAGTATCGTCCCATGAGTTGAATCTCTCACGGAGAAATACACTTAAGTATTTAAAGCAATTAGTTACCTTTATGAATTTCGACAACACAATAAGAAGACATAGTTTATCTGAAACGTGTAATGCTTTATTTCCACAACACATTTCGGGCATTCTGACCACACACACACACATGAGTACTTGCCATACACAGTTTTTATATAGAAGGTAAGAAGGCATGAATAGTTAGAATACAGATCAAACTGTGTATAGGTGAGGGTCACAAATAATGGGTAGGGAGATGACGTAAAGATGTGAGTAAGAAAGAGAAAAAACAAAGCAAAGAAGGGGTTGTAAATATTATGAAGTAAATTGACTCTTGGTTCTAAATTGGATTACGAAGGCAGGTTTAAGGTGATAACAAATAACTTTTGGACACATAAGACAGGTTTAAGTCCTTTTATAGCTAACGCTTCAATGAATTTAAGTATGTGCCCCAACCTTGTTTTATATATGGTCTTAAAGGCATTGTTGAAATCAACCTTATGACTCGTCTCTATAATGTGCTCCGCCATATATGATGTTGGCGACCTATTTCCTGGGCCAGTGATGTCTGGAGATTTTATTTGTTGTTGCAGCCACTTTGGAATGTGTTCTGTAGCCCTAACCTGAAGAGACCTATGGGTCCTCCCTATGTTTTTTTCTCTTTTTTTCTTTCTTACTCACATCTTTGCGTCATCTCCCTACCCATTATTTGTGACCCTCACCTATACACAGTCTGATCTGTATTCTAACTATTCATGCCTTCTTGCCTTCTATATAAAAAATGTATATGACAAGTACTCATGTGTGTGTGATCAGAATGTTCGAAATGTCTTGCGGAAATAAAGCATTTCGCGTTTCAGATAAACTACGTCTTTTTATTGTGTTGTTGAAATTTACATATATATTGTTCATAGATAGTATTAGACGGAAAATTCCCATATTGAATTATAAACAATAGAATAATTAGAAAACAGAAAGATTGAGTGAAGAAATATTTACTTTTCAATTAGATCCTCATCTCTGGCTCTACTCTAATATATTCTGTATAGCATTTTTATTACGATACACAAGAGTTTACCAACCAAGTGGCGATAAGTTTGTTAACAATAATTAAACAGTGTCAAAATGTCAATGGGTTAATAATAATTAACGAAGAAAATCAATACACACAGTTAAAAGGTAGATATGGTTAGAATAAATTAATTTTACAAGGATAACACGTAAATTAAAGATGAAGTGGTCAAAATAAATAATTTAGACAATTATAATTTGTATAGGTTTAGGGGGAGGTGGGCGACTTATTCCTGTTTATGCATTCTTGTAACGATGGCCACGGTAGGGAAAGTGGTTGTACAAATTTTTTCTGTACACATAGGCTTGGCTTCTTCAGGTGAATTCCGATTACTTCAGCCGTCTGTAGAAGACGAACTCGTAGAGCAAAATTAAGATTAGTCGGAATGGCATAAATAATTTTAAATGCAGTATTCACATCATTCTTATGCTCAGTATCAACGAGGTGGGCTAAAATAGAACTACGAACAGATCTTGTTTGTCCCTTGCTTAACCACGTTGGATGATGTTCGGAAATACGACGATGAACTTGCCTAATTGTACGCCCAATGTAGCTGGCTCTGCAGCTGCAGTCAAACTGGTAGATAGATACACAAAGAGAAAGAAAATTCGCATTCTGTACATCCAACAGATATATTCATAAAACCAATCAGATTATTTTAATTTCCTTAGATTCTGAGTGGAGCATAGGGCTTCAACAGCACCGGGCGATTCATTTCATTGGGTTCTGAGTGGAATATAAGGCTCCAATATCAACATATACCTAATTTATCCCCCTCTCTGCAGCTGTCTGTAGGCTCACATCTCCTCATTTATTTATTTTTATTTTTGGTTACAGCTTGATTCCACACTGTATTTTTGGTACAAGTATGAAATTTTCAGCGTGGATATCGGTAGCCCAAATTTCGCAGGCCAACCATAGATATCAGGTGTGCGTCGGTGTGTGCTCGAACCCCGGACCATGTGCATGGTTGGCGAGAGTCCTAACCACTGTGCCACCGACGCACACAACCTCCTCAATATCACCCTCAGATCTACACCAATTTTGTCTTTTCCCACTCGGTTTTTTATATTTATTTATTTATTTTAATATAGCTTGACCCCCACACAGTATTTTTGATACAAGTATGGAATTTTCAGTATGTAATATCGGGAGCCCAAATCTAGCAGGCCGACCATTGATATCGGATGTGAGTCGGCTCGGGATCCAACCCCAGCGAGGGTCCTAACCACTGTGCCAATCAATGGCCTGACGTGTAATATCACTCAAAACTCTACTTAGTGTATACTCAAGTCCATCTACATTTCATTTTGCAGATGTGTTGTCGGTCAACAGGTTCTAGGTTGGTTCATTTCCCAGAGTTTTTTTTTCTTACTCCTTTCTGATCAGTCGTCTGGTCTTCATTGTCGATTAAACATAGCTGCTCATTGGAAATGCTTCTGCTGATTCACTACGTCTCTGAATCATATACAAGCAATGACCGATTTGACATGAGTGCTGCAAAACCGATTGGTGTGCCTTTATGTTCATTTCAGAAGATTATCACACCGGTTTCAGACTATTGAAGACCTATCTCACCTTTCCGATCCTGACTTTCACATCCCTATTCATTCCACTTGTGGTTGAAACGATGCAGACTAGATGAGTGGAAGTGGTGATCTTCTTTAGATGGTGACCGCTTATCTCCTTCACCTTCGTCTCTTCTGTGTTTACTCAAAGTCCTGCCCTTGCCTCCTACCTCTTCAACTGGTTTGTTGGACTTCGTCTGTAGATCATCGATTTTGTGTGACATCAAGCTTAGATCATCAGCGAAGTCCAAATCCCCAACAGTCTCTTTGTCAACCGAATGTATTCGTGTCTTCACGCTGCCCACAGTCCAGTGGATGATACAGTCCACCACAATCAGTAATATCGTCAGTTTTCACTTCAAAGTCTTCACTGAATTTTCCATTGTAACTCATTGTACATCTGGAATTATCATATATCTGTTGAATTAGGTTTGGGCACTCAATAGTTTTGATGTATTTCCTGAATTATTTCATAGTCAGTACTGTTGATGGCTCTCTCTCTCTCTCTCTCAAACTCATTGAAATTATTGTAGGAAAATTATTACACAATGTCAGGTGTAATCTGGAAGGGAATGGCTAGCCGGAGATTAGGAAAACAGAAGTTGGCATTATATAATCAGCTTGAAAAGATTATCTAATAGTTCTTTTGAATCTCCTTTGTGCGTCGAAGGTTCAGTGGTAGAATGATGGCCAACCATGCACGTGGTTCAAGGTTCAAGTCCTGACCGGTGCACACCTTTATCTCCCTTAGCCGGTTATTATCCCGACAAAGAAGGAAGGTTGGCAGTGAGGCCAACAACAAACACTATCCCGTAAAAAACACCATTGCTACTGAACCTTCAAAGCTGTAGCTTGAGGACTTATGTTCCCCTCAGAACGCAAAGGAATAAAATAAACAATAACAATCATGATGAATCTCCGTCTTCTCTCTTTTCTCTACCTTCGTTTGTGACTTACAGCATGGCAACTTGAACAAACTTTCACTTTTGTGCAAAGCTTTATGTTAAAATTCAGTCAATCAGCTTTTACAGCAGCTTGAAGCTTACGATTTAATACACAAACATATATACAAATGATTTCTGAAAGAAATACTTATAGGTTACTCAACAAACACTTGAAATTCTATCTATATGCACAACAGACAATGAGCCACACGTATTAATTATCTGAGGGCTAACAATCCTACTAGACAATCTAGACGTCAATAGGTGGAGCAGTTCTAGGAAGCCGCGATTAGTTAGGCTGCATGTGCTGATCGCGCTCGCTTTCAGCTGGCTTCAACTGGAAATAACTCTCCCAATTGCTGTGTAGACAACTATCCTGCTAGATCTGAAGCTTTGGCCAGACCAGCTGTTGACTCTTCAGCCTCCTGGCCTATCTAACCTGGTGGCCAGGATGTTCTTAACATCTAGTTTTGAAGGGGGAAAATACCACTTTTGGCTGCTGAAAGAAAGATGTATGCATCTTAACGAATATATGAAAGTTATAAAGATATACAATCGCACACCACAACGCAGTAACCAAGTCCTTGTCCCTTGAAAGTATAACTGTTCACCATGTGCTTCAATTCACACACTGACTGACTGACTGATTTCAAAATAGAACTTTGCATTGGCGTTCTCTCTATCTCAACTTCATCGACTTTGAAAATGCCTTCGACAGCGTCGATCGAGAGGTGATTTGGCAACTACTTCGCTACCACGGGGCGCCAACGACAAGTATACACCTCATCCAACAGTTATACAACAATGCTGCATGCCAAGTAATCCACAATGGGAAACTTATGGAAGCCTCTGAAGTGAGGATGGGAGTGAGGCAAGGCCGTCTACTATCTCCAACGGTTTTCCTGATTGCAGTAGATTGGATAATGCGACAGACAACGGGCCAGGCAGCGAGGAAACAGGCATAAAATGGACCCACACAAAAATAGAACTTGGAGGATCTGGACTTCGCCGATGATATATGTCTGATTTCCCACAAACACTGGAAGATATGCAAGTGAAAAGCAACAAGCTGGCAGAAGAAGCATCAAAGATAGAACTTCAAGTGAACATAGATAAAGAGGAGGTGATGAAGATTCCTGGCCGGCATCAACAGCAACAACAGACGACAGTCAGCATAAATGGGAGGAACCTGAAAGAAACAACCTCCTTCACCTACCTGTGAAGCACTGTTTCAACTACAGGCGGAACTGACGACGATATCAAAGCCAGAATCGGAAAAGCAAGACAGGCTTTCATTTATCCTTAAGTCTGTGTGGAGGTCAACATCACTCAGCATCAAAAATAAGATCCGGATTTTCAACTCCAATGCGAAGTTAGTGCCACTTACCATACGGATCAGAGACTTGGCCAGCGCGTCATAAAGAGCATCTCCAACAAACTTCAGACTTTCATTAACAGTTGTCTTCGCTCAATACTCAAGAACAGATGGCCGGCCAGAAAAGATCAGCAATAGGGATCTCTGGCAATGAGTGAACCAACACAGCAGGAACCGATTGTGAAACAAATATGCAGAGAGAAATGGAGGTGGATTGGCCATACTCTGAGAAAACAAACCATTAAGTGAGTGACATCACACGCCAGGCCATCTCTCAAGTGGAACCCGAATGGGAAGCAGCGAGTTGCTCGTCCAAGAGTGACGTGGAGGAGGTGACGTGAAGAGGAGATGAAAGCATGTGGGCAGACTTGGAGCGGGGTGAAAGAGTTGGCAGAAAACAGAAGGCAATGGAGACGCGTAGCTGAAGTCCTCTAGGAATTAAAGGATATAATAATAATAATAATTGATGTTCAGCAGTTCGAGTCGCCACACTCCATGTAGCTCACAAAGCAAGAGAAAAAAAGTAAAAAGAAATGCATAATAGAGACGGTAGTCAGGGATATGAGACAAAGCAACAGTAATAACGAAGAACAATATAGTTTCATAGGGTATTATAATTCCCAAGGAGTGGATGCATCTGCGTTAGCCATTGAGAACTATTTTGAGCCATATCACCAATTGTCTCCAGCCTTCATTGGTTTTTACCGTCACGAGGACCCCAACCAGGAAGCCTACACTTCTCCACGTGGCTGGCTTAAACTGACTGTTGCGGATTTCATTGACCGATGAAGCCATGTGTGGTGATTGACAATTTCTATCTCTGTATTGTTTAAATACTTACTGTTGATATGTTTCTTATATGAATTGCATAAGAATTCCGCTAAATACAAATTCCTGATTGCTGCCCTCTCTGAGTTTTGTTTGGATTCTTGTAATTCCGTCATCTCGAAATACTAATACTTCAATTACAATAAATTACTACAAATTGGCGTCGCGATGGAGCTAAGTAACCTGGGAAAATTCCCCATTAATGGGTGTCCGCGGGAGATTGCTGATTATTTGGAATGCTTCGATGCGTGGTGCATTTCAAAGAATGTTCGGGATGACAAAATACCTGCTCATTTCATCACTACTATTGGGCTTGATGCATATAGCCTAGTGAAGAATCTGGCGTTTCCAGATAAACCCATTTCTCTGCCATATGCTAAGCTCCGTGAACTTCTTATAGATCACTTCCATATAACTACTTTTGAGACGAGAGAGAGGGCTCACTTCAACAAACTGGTACGTTCTCCCAACCAGAAGATTAGAGACTTCATTCTTCAACTTCAAATTCAAGCTTCAAAGTGTAACTTTGGAGATCAGCTGCATACTCAACTACGTGATCGTCTAATTGCTGGAATCAATATTCCTAAGTTAGAGAAAGAGTTAATTCAGATTCCTTCTTGTACTTTTCAAACTGCTAAAGATGTATGTATTACATATGAAGATGTCAATAATGAATACTCTGCTCCCACTACGTCAGTATCTGATGTTATGCTTTCTAAAGTCGAAAATACAAGTGGTCATGGAAAGCAATCCAAACTGCCGTCCACAGGTAATAGAATGCAGCCAGAGATCAAAAACATTAAACCGTGTTTATCCTGTGGAAAGTTACATCTACGAAGCACTTGCCGTTTTCGGAGTGCTAAGTGTCACAAATGTGGTAAAGTTGGACACATCAAGACGGTTTGCAGAAGTTCGAATACTTATGTTGCTCAACATTCTTATAATTCTCCCAAGCTGTCTAGTAAAATGGAGTCAATGTGTCTTTCAACCTTTCAAAATACTCAAGCTAATCCGATGAAAACCTCCACTACAAGTTCGGCAACTCAAGTGTCAACTGTTTTCAAAAATGAGGTAGCTGAGTTACAATGTGAACTGTCGAAAACACGAAAAGACCTGAATGAGATGAGAGAGCAACTGATTAAAATTGAGGAATTACTGCATATGCATAGACTACGTCTGTCGAATGCAGAGCATACAAGTACCCGTGAAAGTCCTGCAAAACGTTTCAAATCTCGAATTCTCAAAAAGCATCTGATGTCCACGACTTCTAATGTACATTATTACAAAGATAATAACTACAGACCTTCTGTTGGAATTATACTACAAAAAATGGGAAATCGAGTGGTGAAGATATTAGACATCAAAGATCACTCAGTTCATAACGGACACCTGGACAAAGTGACAATAAATGAAGTAGGTCGTTCCAATTATAATATTATTGATTCCGCTAATAATCCTGATTTTGTAGATAATTCAGAAATAGGTCCAGATAATACTGATGAAAATAATATCACAGAATCAGTTAGGTCGAAGCTACTTGCAAGCAAACCGAGACATCGTTATAAATACGCGAGGAGATATTCGAGGTGTGGCGGATGTGGTGATTGACAATTTCTATCTCTGTATTGTTTAAATACTTACTGTTGACTGTTGATATGTTTCTTATATGAATTGCATAAGAATTCCGCTAAATACAAATTCCTGATTGCTGCCCTCTCTGAGTTTTGGTTGGATTCGTGTAATTCCGTCATGTCGAAATACTAATATTTCAATTACAATAAATTACTACACCATGTTTCGGTTTGACCACCGCTAGCTCTTTTTCAACCTGACTCTCTATAGGCTAACATTGCCTGTTGCCGAGGAAGGCGATGTCTGTCTGGATTCAACATAGAACTTGGCACCGAAGTGCACCAGTTCGAGTTGCCACCTTCCAAATAGCACACAAAGGTAGACAAGAAGATGAGTGAAGAGAATCAACAGAGTTTGACAAGTATAAGAGTGAAACATAATGGGTAATGGTAAAAAGGAATATGAAAGATTACAGAGACTGAATACATCTGCGCTGGCCATTGACAACGGTTTTGAGCCATGTCACCTATTGTCTCCAGCCATTCATTCCTAGAGTCCCGAGGGCCCCAACCCGGAAGTCTGCATCTCCCTACCTTACTCAGTTTAACTGTCAAGGATTTCATGGATTGATGAGGCCATGCTTTTGTTTGGCCACCACTTACTCTTTTCCAACCTGCACCTATATCAGCTAGTAATGCCCGTCGGGGAAGGCGATCGTTAGGCATGCGCACCACGTCACCTAGCCATCTCAATCTATGTAACTTTATAGCCTCGTCAATTGATTTTCCCTCTTTGCCCAACACTCTACGCCTAACGTCAACATTACTTACCTTGTGAAACCACCTAACGTGAGACAGAGATCGCAGACATCTATGATTGAAAGCAGTCAACCTTTTCATGTCTTCAACGCGTATTGGCCATGTTTCAGAGCCATAGAGAAGGACGGAGCGAAATGGTGAGCAGTACACACGTCCCTTGGTTGATAGCCGGATGTCATGTCTACGCCAGAGATGGTTTAAGTCAGCGAAAGCAGCTCGAGCTTAAGGCGATGGCTAGACATGCATGCGTAGCACATGTCCTAACCATTCCAGTCGATGTAGCTTCACATTACCCAGCACTCGACGCCTAACCTCAATATTGCTCACCCTATTATACCACTTCACACGGGAGATAGAACGCAGGCACCTATGATCAAAGACAGGTAGTCAGCCTTTTCATGTCTTCCATTTTCAGTGGCCAAGTCTCACAGCCATAAAGGAGGAAGGAACGGAGTAGTGAACAGTACACTCGCTCTTTGGTCGATAGCCGAATATCACGTCTACGCGAAAGACGGAGTAAACTGGCGGGTATATGCTAAACGAGCCTTCTGTATCTGTTCTGAGATTTCGTCAGAGATCGACCCGTTGGCGTTGGCTGATGCAACTTCCCAAATAAGTGAAGTGGTGAACGCGCTCCACCATTTCACTCCCTATTTGTAAACTAGGAGTCAGTGTAGTCCAGTCCTGTAACATTTGGCGGGAGAGAATCGCATGCCGAATATTCTCATGTTGCAGCCCAAGGTGTTCAGAAGACTCTGCTCTATTTTGTCAGTGTCTTCACCTAGAAGGACTATATCATCTGCATATTCTAAGTCAACAAGATTACTAACTCCCTGGTAACAGGTCAATCCCTTTCTACCATTACCCATTCTGTTTCACTCTTATATTTGTCAAACTCTGTTAATTCTCTTAACTCATCTTCTTGTCTACCTCTGTGTGCTATTTGGAACGTGGCAACTCGAACTGGTGCATTTCGGTGCCAAGTTCTATGTTGAATCCAGACAGGTCAATCCCTGAGTCGCTGAAGTCACTTAGGGTTAATTTCATTAGTATATCTATGATGAAATTGAATAGAAATAGGGATAGCGGGCACCCCTGACGGACAACACTAGTTGTCACCAATTCAGACGATAACTCGCCGTAACCTGTCACCTGGTTGCATGAGTTCGAGTAGAGTGCCTTGATCAGCAAACATAAATATATTGATCGCTGAAGGTGAAACGGCTGATGCTCAATTGATTTGACGAATTTCTCTCACCCTCTACGTAGTGTTCGAATCCATGACTCAGTTGTTGGAAGTTAACCGTTTAAACCAATGCGCCACAACGTCACACAAATATAGAGACATTGCATATTTATACTAACCACCTTCAATAAAGAAATTGATTAACAATGCAAAGCAACACTAAATACGTTTTAAGTTTATATTTCGTTCGTTTAAAAAATAAATAAATAAATAGATAGGTACACAATGTATATTTAATAGAATACAAAACAGTCTACTTAGGGTTGTTTTTTGTGAGATATCTGTGCTATACGCCTTCGCCATTCAGGCAGACTTTGTAAATAACCGAAACCAGAGGCAATTGTAGTACCAGCGGATAACAGCCTGTAAACACAAGTTACACACATATATACATATCTGTATAAGGGCAAATATACTGAAACAAGTAAGTTAGCTTCAAACAAAACTTCTCAGTACTTATACAAATATCATAAAGAGAATACATAACGCTATGCACTACTGACTGGCCGATATGCCTGGCTGGACATACCACTCACATTAACCGGTGGTAGTGCTTGACTTTGACCACACGGGACGGCAGTTTTGCTTATTTTGTGCAGAGTTCATCAACAGAAAGGTATCCAGTTCGACTGAGCTCAGATAGATGGATTGTTTCAAGCCACCAAAATTCTACATAGGTGAACCTGGCAATACATTGGATCGGATTCGCAGTTTGTAAATTGCGAATGCGATAAAAGACTGCAGTCTTACAGCTCAAATTTAAATAAAAATGCGTAAGGCCAACCGACATCTTATTTCAATAGTTAAGAAAAGAATAGGCATTCCTTAAAAAATCTTAGACATAATAAGTTATTTCTTTCAGTATTCACAAATATTAATCTTACTACTTAACAAAAACTCAAATACAGGTTTGATCATAAGCTGATATCAGTTACGCATTCATTAGAAAACCAGGGAGTACTGAACAGCTGCTTTGTTCCAGTTTTGGACTATGCATAGTAGGCATCCACCAGGTTCAAACCGTGGACCTTCATCTTCCATCGACAAGGCGAGCTTGTAGACCATTCAACCACTGGAACCCGACCTAATGATCCATGAATTCATAATTTTGCTAATTTGTGATGCAGCACAACCTCCAGATAATATTATATGCAAGTGACTATCCTTTTACCTGACGTGGCGGATCCCGCTGGTCATGACTTCTCACTAGAACTCCAGGTAACTTACTCTATTTAGCCAGTTGTCAATGAGCAACAAATTAATTTTCATGTGTTGGCTTGCACGGATTCAACTGGTCGCATGTTTGCACTGGCAGGAGTTGTCATCCATGGACTACTAGATGGGGTTCTAGTGATTGAATGGTCTATAAGCTCACCTTGTCGATGGAAGGCCCATAGTTCAAAGTCCACGCTGACAAAAAAGGCAGTCTTATGAATGCCTTGAGAAGCTGCGATCTACGAATGTTTGTCTGTCTGTCTGTCTGGATTCAACATAGAACTTGGCACCGAAGTGCACCAGTTCGAGTTGCCACCTTCCAAATAGCACACAAAGGTAGACAAGAAGATGAGTGAAGAGAATCAACAGAGTTTGACAAGTATAAGAGTGAAACATAATGGGTAATGGTAGAAAGGAATATGAAAGATTACAGAGACTGAATACATCTGCGCTGACCATTGACAACGGTTTTGGGCCATATCACCTATTGTCTCCAGCCATTGATTCCTAGAGTCCCGAGGGCCCCAACCCGGAAGTCTGCATCTCCCTACCTTACTCAGTTTAACTGTCAAGGATTTCATGGATTGATGAGGCCATGTTTTTGTTTGGCCACCACTTACTCTTTTCCAACCTGCACCTATATCAGCTAGTAATGCCCGTCGGGGAAGGCGATCGTTAGGCATGCGCACCACGTCACCTAGCCATCTCAATCTATGCAACTTTATAGCCTCGTCAATTGATTTTCCCTCTTTGCCCAACACTCTACGCCTAACGTCAACATTAATTACCTTGTGAAACCACCTAACGTGAGACAGAGATCGCAGACATCTATGATTGAAAGCAGTCAACCTTTTCATGTCTTCAACGCGTATTGGCCATGTTTCAGAGCCATAGAGAAGGACGGAGCAAACTGGTGAGCAGTATATACGTCCCTTGGTTGATAGCCGGATGTCACGTCTACGCCAGAGGTCTTCTTCTTTCTTTACTTCGGCTATCTCCTATGAGAGGATGAGCCGGTTTCATGAACCATGAAGTTTCGTGGGAATTGGGTACAAGTGATGTCCCCAGCATCGCTCGGCCTTTGTTTGAGAGCGCAGCTCTAGCCTTTACACAACCAAGTGTGACCTACAAGGCAGTAGGAGTGGAGTAGGGAGTCCACTATCCATTGGAAGGCGGTGACCGGAGTCCGGTTCATTCGCCTTTTTGAATGGGGCCAGTCATCCAGGGCATCCAATAAGCCCTTTGTCCATACGTCTGCCGGTGAGCTCCGGTGAGCTTCATACGCCAGTCGTTGGAGGTTTGGAATCAGGGTTTAGCCATCTCCCCTAGACTGTCATTCAATGGACAGTCAAACCGGTGAAGAGCGCCGGGCATCCGCCTTTGCCCTCTCACTTTGGTGAAAAACACCTCCGCCACGTGAAGGCAGTGAGTAGGACTTCCTCAGGAGAGGCTATGTTAGACGCCCGGTCATATGGGAGCATTTCAAGAGGTGTACGGAGGGGTGGCCAACGCGCGGCGCAAGACACCCACGCCAGAGATGGTTAAAGTCAGCGAAAGGAGCTCGAGCTTTTTGGATCCGTGCTGAGATTTCGTCGCCAATCAGTCCGTTGGTGCTGATACAACTTTCCAAATAGGCAAATGTTGGGCATGGGGTTCGCCTCTACCAAATGTGAGATGATGTTACAGGACGCCATTGGACTACACTGACTCCTAGCTTAAAAATAGGCAGTGAAGTCGTAGAGTACGTCAACCGCTTCACGTATTTGGAAAGTTGCATCAGCCAACGCCAACGGGTTGATCTCTGACGAAAACTCAGAACGGATACAGAAGGCTCGGTTCGCGTATGCCAGTTTACGCAGTCTCTGGTGTAGACGTGATATCCGGTTATTGACCAAAGAACGGGTGTACTGCTCAACAGTACTCTCCGTCCTCCTGTATGGCAGTCATTATATTTCTTGACCTAAAGGCAGCATTCGACTCTGTCGATCGAGAAGTTCTCTGGAGATGCTTGGCTGTAAAGGGAATTCCGAGAAAATATATTGCACTGATTAAGGCACTCTACTCGTACTCATACAGCCAGGTGAGGGCTTACGGCGAGCTTTCATCTGAACTGATGACGACCAGTGGTGTCCGTCAAGGATGCCCATTATCTCCTTTTCTATTCAACTTCATCATAGATGTGTTAATGGACTTAACCCTAGGTGACTTCAGCGACTCAGGGATTGACTTGCTACCGGGGAATAATCTCGTTGACTTGGAATATGCAGACGATATAGTCCTTCTAGGCGAAGACGCTGACGAAATGCAGAGTCTTCTAAACACCTTGAGCCGCAATCTACGAATGTTTGGCATGCGATTCGCTCCCGCCAAATGCAAGATGATGTTACAGGACTGGACTACATCGGCGCCTAGTTTAAAAATAGGAAGTGAAGTGGTAGAGCACGTTGACCGCTTCACTTATTTGGGAAGTACCATCAGCCCCAACGGGCTGATCTCTGACGAAATCTCAGCACGAATACAAGGGGCTCGTTTCGCATTTGTTGGTTTACGCCGACTCTGGCGTAGACGAGATGTTCGACTATCGACCAAAGGGCGGGTGTACTGCTCATCAGTCCGCTCCGTCCTCCTTTATGGTTGTGAGACCTGGCCACTCAGAGTGGAAGACATGAAAAGACTAGCTGTCTTTGATCATAGGTGCCTGCGTTCTGTTTCCCGTGTAAAGTGGCATAATAAGGTGAACAACATGGAGGTTAGGCGTAGAGTTCTAGGTAAACAGGGGAAATCAATCGACGAAGTCGTGAAGCTACAAAGACTGAGATGGTTAGGACATGTGTTACGTATGCCAAGCCATCGCCTCCCTCGACGAGCAATGTTAGCGGATATAGGATCAGGCTGGAAAAAAGCTAGCGGCGGTCAAACAAAAACTTGGCATCAGTCAATGAAATCCACAACAGTTGGTCTAAGCCACGTAGAAAGGTGTAGACTTCCAGGCTGGGGTCCTCAGGACGGTAAAAATCTATGGTTGGAAACAATTGGTGACATGGCTCAAACCCGTTCTCAGTGGCGCAGATGCATCCACTCCTTGTGACTTATGATCTTCAATGAAACTGTTTTGTATTTCTTTATTACTCCTTTGTCTCACACCTCTGCTCACTGTTTCTATTACGCTTTTCTTGTACTTTCTTCTCTTGCTTCGCGTGCTACACGGAATGTGGCGACTTGAACTTCCGCACATTTGTGCAAAGTTCTATGTCGAAAACAGACAGACAGACTGTATGGCTGTGAGACTTGATCATTGAGAGTGGAAAACATGAAAAGGCTGGCTAGTTGCCTTTGATCATAGATGCCTGCGTTTTATCTCCCATGTGAAGTGGTATAATAAGGTGAGGAATATTGAGTCTAGGCGTCGAGTGCTAGGTAAGGAGGAGGAATTAATCGATGAGGCTATGAGGCTACATCGACTGAAATGGTTAGGACATGTGTTACGCATGCATGTCTAGCCATCGCCTTCCTCGACAACAAGCAATGTTAACCGACAGATGGTCACCAGTTCAAGTCGCCACTCCCCATGTAGCTCACAAAGCAAGAGAAGAAAGAAGAAGAAATTCATAACAGAGACGGTAGTCAGGAATATGAGACAAAGCAACAGTAATAACGAAGAACAATATAGTTTCATAGGGTATTATAATTCACAAGGAGTGGATGCATCTGCGTTAGCCATTGAGAACGCTTTTGAGCCATATCACCAATTGTTTCCAACCATTGGTTTTTACTGTCCCGAGGACCTCAACAATGCAGGAAGTCTACACCTTCCTACGTGGCTTAGAATAACTGTCGTGGATTGACTGCTGCCACGTTTTGGTTTGACCACCGCTAGCTCTTTTCCAGACTGACAGCTAACATTGCTCGCCGACGGCGATGACTAGGCATACGTAACACATGTCCTAACCATCTCAGCCTGTGTAACTTCACAACCTCGTCGATTGATTTCCCCTGCTTTCCTAGAACTCGACACCTAACCTCAATATTGCTCACTTCACACGGGAGATAGAACGCAGGCACCTATGATCAAAGACAGCTACCCAGCCTTTTCATGTCTTCCGTTCTCAGTAGCCAGGTCTCACAGCCATAAAGTTCTACGATGTAAACTCAATCAATCAGTTAGTCAGTCAGTCAGTTTCGATACACCGAGATTTACACGTTTTTGAAAGAAAACTAAGTCACATATATTGTGAACATCTTTAAAACTCACCAAACAGCCTGTAAATATTCATAACTAGGGAATCCATACAATGGATACGTCATACTAAATATAACGCTTGATAACTGACAAAGTGTATTCAGCTGGAAAGGAAAAATTTCAAAACAGAAAAAACAGTGAATACAAAGATACCACAATTTAACAAGTTACAATTGCATAAAGTGATAGTTAACAAAAGCTACACTGAAAACCAAGGACAGGGGACAGATGAATTTTTGATGAGGAGTTATGACTAATCGGGTAAGATCTGCTAACTGAAAAAAATTGGACAACATGGTGAATTATTCACTTTATAACTTGAGATTTATTGATTCAAACCTTAAAGTGGTTGTTGATTAATAGCAAAGCATAGCACAGAATAGTCTTCTACCTGATATTGACGCGTATAAGTACACTTTGGGTTTATATACTACTTCTAATACTGTCAGTCTGACTGGCTGTTTGTCTGAATTTCGGTTGTGATAATAAAACATCGCTAATACAATCCTTCTTGTTCCTGTATGATTCTGCCTACAAGTTGTACTTAGTACTCAGGCAGGGAACTATTTACTGATTCAATTGCAAAACAGTACAAATAGTGGTGTTCAAAACTGTCAAAAGTTTGCACCTTGTAAAACCGTTTTTTCAAGTAAAATTAAGATTATCATCCATTGCGTAGAAATCCACTTTAAATTGTGGATACGGGATACGTCACTAAAACGGTTGCAAGTTTTTGGCCACATGTATTTTGTAGCATTGCTAAATCGTGGTGAAACAAACAACAAATTGAGTAATGTTCATATTAGGTAGGAAACAATATAGATGAGACAGACCAACTGATGGGGTTGCAAAACTTCGCTAACACGTATTTTCTCGACGAAAAACGTTAGCTGAAATAGGATTGAGTTGTTATACGGTGGGAAACGGTTAGAATGTTTTAAATAGTCAATTTGAGATCCTCACAACCAATATAAGTTGCTTAGGGAGCTAAGGGTTCCCTAGGTGAAGACCATGGAATGCTAAACATTAACAGTTGAAGACTCTTGAAGAAATTGCTCAGAATTGTTCACTAAGGCATAGGTGTAATTACTACACCATTTTGGAGATTTTACTTTTTATACTACTGAATTAACGCTAACATATTTTTTATACTGTTTCAAAGTATAGTAACTATAACTGATAAACTTCTGTGCAAGGTCTTACATTGACCCATTTGTCGAAAACAGCATGTCCTCAATACTGTACATGTAGTTCCATTACAGTCAGCGATAAATTTTCCAGTATGCATTCACTACTACTGGATCCAAATCTAAAAATACTCAAACAGTCTCACTGGATGGATGATAAGCAGATTTCGTCTTGAGTACTTCTGTTATGCTCCCGAGTAAGCGGAACTACAACTAGTCTTAGTCACCAAGTATATCGAAAAGTAACTTTCTAAGATTTTTAAAGCAGAAAAGTGTTAACCACCCACAGACCAAGTACAGTCACTAGTTTGACGAAATCACACGCCTAGACGTTAGTCTATACTATCAGAACGAATAGCAGTACTAATTCATGTAGGTTCCCTTCCAGAATTTCTGTATTCACATTAATTAAATATTCAAAAGGATGGGGAGGGGCGGTTTTCTACTGAGACCTATTTAAAATTAAAAATACGTGTTTAGTATTCACATGCAGACGGCATATAACACAACAACAACCGGAAGATGAAGAATGATGCTCAGGAAGGCTTCTTGTGCTCTTGGAGATGTGTGGGAGGTTGTAACTTCCCGGCTGCCCACACCGTGGAAGTTGAATGATTCTTCGGGTAACCGATACAGATAGAGGGTTAATGTTGCGTGACCACAGAGCCCAGGGGGCAGCTTCTTGAGGCCGGTCACACATGCCCTGTATGAACTGGTTTCTTGGTTTGATTTTTCCGGTTACGGACCACAGTAGGGTAAGTCCGGATGTACAATCTTTGGGTCGATCTTTTCAAGCCCCCTTCCTCCAGAGTGGAAACAGAATGCTGGTCATCTGAGGGAAACACCTCACTGCTGTTACATCCCTGTTCCCCAGCAGAACGACTTCGCCCCCCCCCCAACAATAGTTCCAACTAGTGTAGCTTGTTGGGCCACTGCGATGTGCAAGGCCGACCACCACGTCAAGGTAGCAGCTATCGGTCACGTCAACAACCGGAAAAGGAAATTAAATTAAATTCTTTATGAATCTGACTCAAGGGATGCTTCTCACGCTACAAATGTGCTTAAGTAACCACCTATTTTTACCTAGAGTTAATTTTAAATACTATTGCACTAACTAAACTAAACGTTAAGTCAAGAATAATCATACTGCTGTTGGATTGGATCATTGGAAGACATCCATTTCCTCCTCGAAATATATGTATAAATATAAATGTGCCAGTGGTTACGTAAACATGATAATAGGGAAAAATTAAGAATACACATACCTTGCTGATATTGGATGCTTTTATCTCAACCTCCCGAGTGAAAGTCACAGGACTAGCCTTTTAAAAATTGAGTCATAAATCGAAAGTACTTACTGAAAGGGAATACCGGAGAAATGCTGCAAACACAACAGCTATTAGTCCAACGTCACGCAGGATAAAAAGACAAGTCAGACTAACTAGTGAAATTTTAACAAAACAACACTACTACTTGGAAACAGCTTCATCACAGTCAACGATAAAACCAAAGATGTCACAAGGACTTTATCAGCTAAAGGATCCAGTAAGCTACCAATGTTAGACTTTTGATGTGGTACATTTCTTGCTATAAATCCATCTAGCTTATAGAGAATTGCACTGATGACAATTGAAAATGTAAACGCACCACATCAGTTACACCAGCTATTGCAGTGAGACCTAAAGCTGTACTCAGATCTTGATTCAAAATGGAATTGACAATAAACGGAGTGAGTGCCATACGAGAGACTGTTATCATATTTGGGATAGTGAAGAAACCTAATCGCTCCTGAAGTGTTGTACTGTAAACAACTTTGTCTTACATTCTCATTGGAGGAGTTTGAGAAAGTCTTTGTGCGTAAGCAGTATGTAGAAGTTTTACTTAGGTAAAAGTGAGTAGGGAAACACCGAAATAGCCATGTATTGCCATGTTTTAAAAATATTTTAGACTGCGGAACGACCTTCATCTCAAAGTGCCCGCCTAGCGGATATACGATGACCCTCAAGTTCACAGCCTTTTGAGTGAGGATGTTAGTACTTCATAACAAGTATCTTTGGGGGTAGACACCATTTCTTCTTGGAGTTGGTTACAAGAAATGATGACACACAGGATGAACTAGTACACTACAGAGATATGGTTCCTCCACAGTGCTTGAACCCCAATATCGTTTTTACGAGCTAGTATAAACCAATTCGATTTCTTTGCTCTCGCCTCTTGATTGTGTAGGTTCCTGATCTTCTGTAAACTTCTGCGTAGCTCGTCCCGCCACTCGACTGTCGTAGCTTAGGTTGACTCCAAAAGGAATAGTGCTGGGATTAATTAAGCTGGACTTATTTATCACGTAATGTTGAATTCCGCTTCGAAATTTTGTTTTGCCAACAGTTTTTAATAAAATTGTGTTATATGTTATCTAGATTGATGTAAATTCCCATTTTTGGCTAGTTATTTTGGTGTCCGCGTCATGTGATCTGACTGCGACACACTTTTAGCTTATTGGTCGCGATGATTAGTGTTTCAGGGGGACTGTATCAAAATATCGGAATATCAAAAACTCGCGCGCTGTTTGAAAGGGAGTGCTTTTTTCACGTATTTCACGTTTTTGACAAATCGCTGTTTTGTTGTGTTATTCACTTCAAGAACATTTAAAAAAAACTTTAACTTGACTTTTGTCTGTTAAGTTTTGATTTTAACCACTTATATATTCTATATTGGGTAAATTGTCTTGGCTGTTTCCAGTAGAATTTCATGATGTCAAAAGTACCACATAAATGTAATAGGGCGGAGTGTTACTTTTTGGTAGATGATGGAATACAGTGTAATAACTGTGAAAAATGGTATCATAAGATGTGTACTGGATTACGTCCAGCTGCATACAAACGCTGTACTGCTCCAACATCCCACTGGATGTGCAGAATGTGTTGCTCTCCAAAGATGACCTTAATAAGGGAGGCTCACGAACTGCTCTCTAAAGCCATGGAACTTCCTGATGATAGCGTGGCTAGTAAGAGTGACACGGACTGCCCGTCTGAAGATGAAGCAGTAAGTGCCATCATGAATGTTATCACACCGGCGGTTACTATCCCAGTTACCCCGGAAGTAAAACCTACTAGGCGTTCGAAGCGTCTTAGTAAGCGAAAAGGTAAAAAAACGGAAGCTGTAAACAGCACCTCAGAACCAGAGAACACCGTAAGCGAAGTTCACCATGAAGGTGGCGCAGACACTGATCTTGATTGTACCATCAAAAACTGCAGCAGCCCTGAGAAGCAACTGCAGGCAGATGATAAATGGGTAACAAAAATAAGCAGTCGAAAGAAATATAGTAATATTGATGGTAGGCAAACGTCTGTCACCTGTAGCCAGGCTGCATCAATAGTGGTGAGAAAGGACGTAGCCACTGCTAAATACGACAAGCTCTCCTTAGACTCTAACATAATTGTTGGAAATTTGGAAGAGTCCAAAGAATCTGATCCCGTGAAAAGGCACGATCACGACCTTAAATTAGTGAGTAGTATTATAAGGAAGATGCTCCCAGCGAATTTCCCTGGAGTATCGATTAAAAAGCTGATTAGAATAGGCAAAAGAGATGATGAATGTTCTAATCAGCGTAGGTTGCTTAAAGTAGTCTTAGGTTCTCCTGATGAACGGAATCATCTACTGGCTAATGTACACAACCTTGCCGGGTCAGGAATTTCAGCCAGACCTGATTTATCTCTTGAAGACAGACTTAAACGAAAAGAAGTTTTGTCCCAGCTAGAAACAAGACGCAAAAATGGTGAGACTAACCTTAAACTGGTGGGTTTTCAAATAGTCAGGTCTTGGAAACGTATGCTTCCAAGACCTGTGTGGATAGGCCAGACCGCATAGGAAGCCTGAAGGTAGTGTACACTAATATACGTAGTATCGGGAACAAATTTCACGAGCTAGGTGTATTAGTAGAAGACCTTAGCCCAGGTATTGTGGCCATTACTGAAACATGGCTGGTTTCGGGATTAGATGACACACCTGAGCTATGCGGATTTAGTTGCTTGCGCAGCGACAGAGTTAAGGGTCGTAGAGGTGGCGGGGTTGCTCTGTACATCAACAACTCCCTACATGTTCGTTCCGTGAAATCTGAAGCTCATGACAGTGGGACAGGTGAGGTAATTAGCTGTGAAGTAAGCTTTGCAACCGGCACTCTACTCATTGGAGTTCTGTATAGAAGTCCCTATTGTCAGTGTGATGACTTCATTTTAGATCACCTCAAACAATGGAGTAAACACAGTAGCTGTCTTATTCTAGGTGATTTTAATGCACCTCATATAGACTGGGTAGCTGTCACATCTCCAGGATCCGCTGATAAGTTTGACAGCCGGTTACTCTTGACAACCATGGAAAATGCCCTGACACAACATGTCTTAGGTAGTACAAGATTCGGTTCTACCCAAGGATCTTCCTTGCTGGACTTAGTGCTTACTCATGACAACGACGACGTGGATGGTCTAGTTATTCATCCACCTCTAGCAAACAGTGATCATGGGGTGTTAGATTTTAACTTAAGGGCTGGCAATTTAGTCAGTTTTCAACCCAAATCCCGGCCTAGTGTTTGGCATGCTGACATAGTGGCTATAAAGGAGCGTGCTTCAACTGCCGACTGGTCAGTCAACATTGTCTCATCCATTGAAGATGAATGGGATAGATTTAAGAATACACTTGAGAGGGTTACCACTGATCTCATCCCCTGGAGGGTTCCTAAAAGGCCAACAAATCGGCCACCATGGATAAATAGACAAGCTATAACACTCCTGAGACGGAGAAAAAGGTTCTGGAATCTCTTTGTTTCTACTGGGCTACAGCAGTTCCGGCTGAAATACTGTGAAACCAGAAACCAGTGTAAAACTTTGATCCACCAGTCAAGGATAGCTTACGAAACCCAGTTAGTTAAAAGTTCACCAGGCTGCCCAAAAAGACTCTTCTCATATATCAAGAGAAGAACACGTAAGAGTGATGCTATCCCACCTCTTATGCTTGAAGATGACCAGACAAACATGGCTGAGGATAACTTGACCAAGGCTGAGGCTTTGTCCAAGCACTTTAGTCAAGTATTCTCTGATAAAATTGATACCAGCTTTGTAAATTTTCCAGAAGGTAACTTGAAAATGGCACCCTTATACATTGGAAAGGATACTGTCCTAAAGTGGCTTCTAAGGCTCAATCCTGGTAAGTCCAGTGGCCCTGATGAACTCCACCCACGTATATTAACAGCATTGGCTGAAAGCATAGCCGAGCCATTGTCGGTAATCTTCAATATGTCTCTGGACCAGTCTAAATGTCCAAGAGACTGGAAAGATGCCATCATTAGTCCGGTCTTCAAAACCGGATCTAGAAACTTAGTTCAGAACTATCGTCCTGTTAGTTTGACCAGTATTGTTGTTAAACTACTAGAAAGAATAATTCGTGATGCTATCATTCAGTTCATTGAAGGGAACAAACTTTTCGCTGTGGAACAGCACGGTTTTAGAGCAGGTCATTCTTGCTTGACCAACCTTCTTTTGGCCAGAGAAAGTTGGGCAAGCTCAGCTGATGCTAATATACCGGTGGATGCCATATTCATAGACCTTAGCAAGGCGTTTGACAGGGTTTCTCATTCAGGTCTTCTAGTAAAGTTAGGTAGTCTGGGAATCAATAAAGTGGTTACCGACTGGATTCAAGACTTTCTAAAGGACAGAAGACAAAGAGTACGAGTTAACGGGGTTTTATCAACATGGGAATCGGTTAAGAGTGGCGTTCCTCAGGGTACAATTCTAGGCCCACTTCTTTTCCTGATTTATGTTAATGAGATTCCATCGGTAGTTAAGTCATCCTGCTTACTGTTTGCTGATGACATCAAGATATGGAGGGCTTTGCACGATGACAGTGATCAACTTGCTTTGCAGGAAGATTTAAACTTGTTAAGTGATTGGTGTAAGCGCTGGGCCTTGGAGATTAACTTAAGCAAGAGTGTAGTTATGCATGTATCCCATAGTCACGTGCACAATTACTCAATGAATGGCATTACTCTCCCAGTGGTCACTGAGTACAAGGACTTGGGAGTGGTTGTGCAGCATGACTTGAAAACAGCAACAAACTGTAGAACTGCAGCCACTAAGGGTTTTAGAATGTTATGGGCCATACGCAAGGCTTTTGCGAACTTTGACGCTGATATATTTCGTATATTATATCCGACTTATATCAGACCTCATTTGGAATATGGGATCCAGGCAGCGAGCCCGTGTTTCAAATACGAAATTGACTTATTAGAAAGGGTGCAAAGAGTAGGAACTAAGCTAATAAAGGGTTTCTCAACCCTGTCATATGAGGAGAGGTTAAGTCGACTGGGTTTATTTCCACTGTCATACAGACGACTTAGGGGTGACCTAATACTAGCATACCGTATCCTAAGAAATGATTTTGGAGCTAATTTATCTAAATTATTTCTTCCTTCTAGCACCAACCAATTGCGAGGACATCACCTCAAGGTTCAAAAACCACGGTCGAATCGTCTGCGTCTGGAAATCCGTTTTTCGCATCGAATTGTGAACCATTGGAACTCCCTACCGGAACACGTCGTATCAGCGCCATCCGTTGATTCATTCAAGGCGAGATTGGACCTCCTGTATGAAATAAATCGAAAGGATTAACACAGGCATATAGCCTACTATCCTAAATAAATTGTAAACTGTAAACTGTAAACTGTAATGAGCAAGATAGGATAGTTAGAGGGTAATGCCATTTACACAAATCGTTTACTCCATGTAGAAGCTGCACCTTTCAGCATAGTATCATTCAGTGAAGACTTCACGTCTCAAGATATCAATACAGCCTATTTTCATGTGAAGAACAGTCTTTTTGACAAAATAATTCTCTCAGTACTTGGAAATCACCTGTAAGTGCTATCGAAATCGTCTGTGGGAACCTAAATCATCATTTAGATGTGCTTTTCACTCTATCTGTGGTTGGACAGGAATTATGGTAAGTCGAAAGGTTATCTCTAAATGGATTTCATATATATTGGCACTGATTGGTGCAGTGTACTATGGGTTATGTGAATTCAATGTACAAAAATATCTCAACTGTATTAATATTGTGCCATTGTCTACTTAGCTGACTGATAGGATAACAAACGAAGGTGGTTGTCACGATTATTGCAAGTACAGTGC